ACAAGCCAAGACACCATCCTTCCAAGATGTCAACCTGACAGCGTATCAGTCTTGGAAGTTGAGGCAGCAGAAGCGTTTCGGCGAGGAAAACACAGATGAGATTTTGGAGTTGAGTCGGGGTGAGGACTCTGCTACGGTTAAACGGAGGCAAAGACGTGAGGAGATCCTGGAGCGATCAAAGAAAACGTTAGAAGAGAGTCAGTCCATGTGTGGTTGGGAGACTGAAAGCTGTGTCAGCGGAGGTACAATTCCTCTCTCCGCCTTCTGGGCTGGAGCTGGAGTCACAGGCCCGCCAAGCGTCGCCAATGATGACAACATGTCCATGCTCAGCGGCAGGTCATCTGTCATATCGTCAGTATCACAGGCTCGCAGTACAAGATCAGCACAGTCTGCAGTCCCAGTTAATCCCATGACACCAGTTCCTCCCATCCTCCCTGTTCCTAGTGTCCAGGGCCCTGGAGGTGAACCGATGGTCAATCTGGCCAGCATCCAAAACTGGATCGCTAATGTTGTCTCTGAAACAATCAAACAGAAGCAAAGCGAGATGAGCCTCCCTCCTCCGTCACGTGTTGGATCGGAGCTTAGCTATGGCGGTGCAACAAGCATGATTTCAGGTAGGGGCATTGATGATGACAAAGCGTCCTTGTTGAGTGGCGCTTCCTATACTAGTGCACTGTCGCAGGGTCGTGGCAGGGCAGCGTCGGTCCTCTCAGGTGGTGGGTCGAGCAGCATCTCTGGTCTCACCGGAAGAGGTTCTGCTCTGGGATCCACCCTTGGCTCCACCCTGGGCTCCAAGAAAAACAAGATCACCACCACCAGTGTCCCTCTTTTCAGTCTCTTCCAGGACCAGGTCAACATGGGCAAACTGGATGCCTTGGACAAGGAGATCAAGTCCGAGATGAGGGACAAGATGGCTACTTATGAAAAGAAGAAGATCCTGGAGGACAACAAGCGCAGCACCCTCTACAAGAAAAAGAAACCGAAGGAGGATGAAGACGAGGAGGAGGAGAGAAAGAAAAGAGAGGAGGAGTTTCTTGAAGAAACAAAGAAAAAGGAGAAACCCACGAGGAGTTATGGCCTCTCTGGGTGTCTGAATCTCAAGCCCGCACTGGAGAAAGATAAGAACACCAGTATTGACGACTGGCTGAAAAGCGTCAGGCCTCCTCCAAAGAAAACAGCCTCCGGAGAAGAAGCTGGCCCATCAGAGGATCCCTACGACGATCTCGATGCCTCCGCTTCCGAATTTGACTTCTCAAGCCGCAGGGCCTCCTATGCTGTCGATGAAGAAGACGAGGAAACCTATGGCGTTACTTCCAGATACAGGTCAAGGTTACATGAGGATCTATCAAGTGAAGACGCAGAATATTCCTCCAACGGGTTCACGCAATCCCACAGCTACAGCCAGGCACGGAGGTCGTACAGAGATGAGAGCGTCGAGGAAACGGAGAGCTACCACGACCTCTCCACAAAGAGAAAGTTGACTCATCATTCGGGATATGAAAGCAGCAGGTCGGAGGAGAGGAGGAGTAGGAGGGAGGAGGCCAACGACGAGGTGGAGGAAGACATTGCAACCTTCATCGCCCAAACCAGGCAGAGGATCAGAGCTCGGGCCGCAGCCGAGGCCGAAGATGACGAGGTGCTCGCGGCTTGGAGGGCGCAGCAGGAAGCAAAATCACAGAGTAGAAGTGAATCTTAGAAGAAACTACTAATGCTGGGGGGGTTTTATAAAACAAGAGTAAAGTGCCAATTACGTACTGCTGGTTCAAAGATATTTAATAACTCATTTAAGAAATAAAATTTGAAGAAATTGTTTCCCAAAAACCTTCAAAACTGAAATCTGAGGCGCATTTTGCAAAACACAAAACATCTTTTGGAAAAAATTGTTGTGAGGTGGATTTAGGACCCATGTTGGCTCTATTGTTCAAGAAACAGCTGTCAATCATTTTGTAAAAGTAGGTAAAAATATTTTTTAGTATCATGTCTGTATTTGGAAATAAAGCCAATTTACATCAACAAGGAGAATATGCACTTTTGCCTACTTATCATGCAATATAAGTTTATAAGGATGAATCATTAGAGCATTACATGTCATTTAGCTGACGCTTGTAAGTCGCTTTGTAAGCCAAAGCGACTTACAATTGCTATTTATGTCAGAGGTTGCACGCCTCTGGAGCAACTAGGGATTAAGTGTCTTGCTCAGGGGGTAGTACACATAGTAGTTAATTACAAAATTAAGGTTTTGGTGGTTCCGACGTTGATTGTAAAACTGATGTGAAAACACATGTAGAGCATATTTTAATAAAAGATGTGAAATTCCTAAAAAAAAAAAAAAAAGATTCAAATTCCATTTGTACTGTTACATTTTTGTTATTGCAATAAACGTTGTGATAAATGATGCCTTATTTTTTTAAAATTTATAATTAGATTCCCTATTATCTTCATCAAAACTGTGGCCATGACAAACAATTCAAAATCACATTCCTACACACCATAACACCAAATCACAAAGGACACAACCAGAAAATATTGATGAAAATAAATAAACAATTCAACAAATAACTCCAAATGTAGAATATCTTTACAGGTTAATAATGCGTTTTTATATTACAATTTAGAATTATGTCTTAACCAAATTATAGGAGAAGGAGGGAAATCAGCCAGGAAAAGCTGTTTAAAGAGAATTGTAAATGGATCCTTCCTTGTTTTCATTACATTACGTGCACAGGCAAAGAGTCAAGAGAAGCAGTTCTCTGGAAAAGTGATTCATAATCCTGGTCATTTTGGTTGGATGATTATGACAAACAGCTGATGAAAAACAGCTTTGTTGACATATGAGCTGTCAGCTCTTTGCGCTGCTTGACACTGAAATCAAATCTTAAGTAGCTGTAATTAAACGTTATTCCACCATCTAGTGGACACTGGAGGACGTGCTTTTGACATCTTGAAAATGTGACGAATATTTTTAGAAAATAAAAGAGTGGTTGGTGATGTACTGATAATTATCGACTGCTCTTTTTCAAATGATTTAGTTTTTCAAATGATTTAGTATTTTCCTTTTAAACTGCAGTGAGGATGGGGAATGGTGATATAATGCAGGTACATGTGAGTGTACTTATTGTGAAACCTCACATACCACAGTTGGATAAATCACTATGGGAATGTTGATCTGAAAGCTTAAATAATAGTGGGGAGGAGAGAAAGAAAAATAATAATAGTCTACTAGAAAACAAGCCAGCTAAACTTTGTTTATTGAGCAGACAAATCAAATATAAATATTAATTAAAAAGGGATAAAACACTTTAAACTGGTTATAAATTTATTATAATACATTATTTTAATAAACCAAGTGTCAGTTCAATCGGAGGTGGAGGTTTACTATGTATATTTACTCAATGTTAGTACTTACTTGAGTAGTTCCAATGCATGCTGTGTATATTAATAAAAATATGCAATTTTTCAGGACCTCCAAAAGTAATCGGAAAGAGGCCATCCTGCATTATGAATACTTATATTTTAAATACATTTTGCTGATAATAATTTATCTTTACTTTTTACTAAAGTATAAATTAAAATGCAGGCTTTCGCTTTCACTTTCACGTTGTGATATTGCTACTTGTGAACAGTTCTTCCACCACTACAATTAAAAATGTACACACAGTGGTTATTTTAAGCGAAATAAGAATCTAAGAGACGGATCATACCTGAAAGATTAAAGTATTACAGACCCGAGGCTGAAAACGTGGCCTTCAGGTCATCAGACTGTGGATTGAGAAATGACGTGTGCTGCGTTTCTGCCTGTCACCATTAATTAAATCCTTTCTGGGTGAGTGTGAATGCTTTCATAATGTGCACAAGTAGTTTGAACCTGTGTGGGACGAATGCTAGGTTTCTTTCTTTCACTTTGTTTGAAATTATCCTCAAACTGAGCAGTTAAAGAGCAGTTTTCTCCTATTTCCTACATCATGGCAAGCTGGTGGACAGCTGCAGACCTGTTGGACAGTCTGGACCAGGAGGAAAATTCGATAGTGTCTCGGGTAATTCAGGCAGTTGGACTGTTTGGAGATTGGTCAGTAGATGAACTGATGGAGTCAATGTTGTCTGAAGAAAAAGAGGATGGGGTTGTCAACACTGAAGGGAACGCATCAGGCGAGGTGAAAAGTGTAGAAGGTGAAGAAATGCCAAGGGATAACGTGACGATGGAGGAAGACAAAGAGCAGCAGGTGGGAAAGGAAGGAGGAGATCAACAGGTTAAAGACTGCAAAGAGGAAAAGGAAGAAGGAAAAGAAGAAGAGGATGAGGATTTACAACAAGGAGAAAAAGAGGAAGATGTGGAGAAAGGAGGGAACGATGATGGAAATGTTCAAAAGGAGAATGAAAAGCAGAGGACACAAAAGGTGGTGGTAGAGGAAGAGGTTACAAACAAGGTAGAGGTAGAGGTGGAGAATGCAGAACAAAAAAACAAGGTAACTCCGGAGGTAAAAGAAGAAGAGGAGCTTAAAATAGAAGAAAGTGATGGAGCACAGACTGAAAGGAGGAAGAAGGAGGAAGAAGAGGTCGACAAAGAAAGAAAAGAACAAGACAGGATGACAGAGGAAGAGGATGTGGAAGAAAAGCAGACAGTGGGGGAATACAAGAGAGCCGTTCAGGAAGCAAACAATGGAGAGAAAGAACTAAAAACGCATGAGGAAGAAGGCATCGTGAGAGTAGAAGCAAAGGAGGTTGTGAAGGAAGGAAGTAGGGATGAAAGAGCAGAAAACGATAAGAAGAGCAATGATGAAGAAGAGGAAACAGAACAGTGGGAGGGAGAGGAAAACAAGGAAATGGTTAGGCAGGAGGAAGAAGAAGTTGACCGAGCAGAGAAAGAAAATGAAGAAGAAGAGAAAGACGATCAAGAAGAACAACAGATTGATGTAGAAGAAGAAGAGATGGAGGGAAGAGGAGAAAAGGAGGAAAAGAAAGAAGGTCAAGAACAACAACAGACTGGTGCAGAAGAAGAAGAGATGGAGGGAAGAGAAGAAAATGAGGTGGAGAAAGACAATCAAGAACAACAACAGACTGGTGCAGAAGAAGAAGAGATGGAGGGAAGAGGAGAAAAGGAGGTGGAGAAAGACAATCAAGAACAAAAGATTGATGAAGAAGAAGAAGAGACGGAGGAAGGAGGAGAAGAAAAGGAGGTAGAGAAAGAATATGAACAACAGATTGATGGAGAAGACGAAGAGATGGAGGAAAAAGAAAAGGTGGAGAAGGAAGATCATAAACAACAGGTTGGTTTAAAAGGAGAAGAAATTCATGCCTTGGCAGAAGCAGAACCAAATGACGAACAAGCAAACCAGCTCGATCAATCAGATTCCCAAAACTCTTCACCTCCATCACCTCTACGAGACTGTGAACTTTCTGAAACACTGAGTTATGATGGTGCAGAAACAGGAAGCGAAGTCCTCACAGATGAAGAGAAAGGCTCGGGTGCTGCCAGGAACCATAACGGGGACATTTATCCCACATCAGCGAGCAACGACAATGAAAAGGAGGGAGTTTCAACTGCTTCCCTGATGGACACTCGTCTACCTTCTGTCGATGTCCGTCTGAATCTGAAAGATCCCACAGAGAAGGTGGAAACACAGAGTTTGGAGCAACACGAGAGATTTGAAACATCTTCGCCGACATCATTTCCTGGACATCACGGTGAAACAGCAGAAGAGGCAGCAGATGACGATACCCAAGATTTAACATCTGAACTTCAGACAGGTAACCAAATTCTCTCCTGCTATCACATCTTCTACTACCATGTATCATACACAGTAGAAACACTGAAGTTATGATACTATGATGGACTCCACCACTTTAAAAAAATGCGGACCATGAATTCCTTAATTGGAAATCTTCCAGGTTTTGCCTTAAACTAAAAACCTGTGGTTGAACAGGCTGCCGTAACATTTTGAGTAAGCTGAACTTGTACTGTAACAGCGTGCTTTATACTTTTATTACTTAGTAAATTCAAATCTAAGACAAGAAATTAAACAAACTTTAGAAATTAAGTTTAGCCAACAGTTTGCTGACAAGACATACATGTTAGGATTCATTTCCAGTTATGCTTATTCTTTTACTAGTTACAAAACAACTGAACTTATGATTGTGAGTTAGTAATTAATTTGAATATGATAATAAACCAATTTACAAAGTAATTACATAGCGTTATATGAATGTATAAAAGGCAACACAACAAGGTAGATAAGTCAGCCAATCAGCCAAGACCTATAAGCTGCAGCTCTTTCACTTGGTTGTAACTCCAAAACCCTTATGTTATTTGTTGCTGTAAGTGATTAAAAGTTGTGCACTTTGTTTGAGAGTTTGAAGTCCTGAGAGGACCTTACATAACTGCAGCTATGATTGGCTAGAACACAATTCCTCACAGTGGAGATCCAGGCCAGAGAGTTAATTCATTCATTAAAATCTAATTAAAATTCCACAAAGATAACATTCACTCTATTGCCAAGAGCAAATGATAATGAAAACACCTTCCACAGAGCGAATGGAATCACATCTTCCAAAGCTTTAACCTTTAAAAATTATTTCAATTAAGCAAAAAGTCACAGATAAAATTTCCAATTCCAGATCTACAGGCCTCAGGCTGCAGGTTGGAGGGGAAAGTGTCGGTGATGGATGCAGCTGCTCAGTCGTCGTTGAGAGCCGAACCAGTAAGCAAAGAGCTCAGTCCGACCCAAAACTCATCCAGCGCAGGAAATCCTGTGATGGAAGTGAAGGAGGACACAGAACACAAAGAGGAAGGAGGTGAAAACTCACACAAGATGAACGGCAAGGTCGACGCAGCCAACGACAAGAAGAGCGTTAGAGGGCAATCATCAAAGTACAAAACTGTGTCCTACAGGAAGATACAGAGAGGAAACACCAGACAGAGGATTGATGAGTTTGAGTCCATGATGGTGATCAAGCCCTAAATGTTGTCAGATGGTTTGGTTCTATTGACCTGGTAGCTTTTTTGTGATCCTCTGCTTAGAGATGATGAACCCTCGTGGTAATGTGTAGAGAAAAGTAGTGGATCCAGGATAGAACCCTGCGGTACGCCATTTTAATGTCCCTTCAAAGAGGGATAGCAAGGACTGAATCCAGGTTAGGTTTGCATGACACCATTACTAATTTTCCACTTTTATGCATGAAAGGCATTCCGGTCGAGGCAGATGGCCGACCACCCTGAGCCATGGTTCTGCTCGAGGTTTCTGCCTCTTAAAAGGAAGTGTGTCTCCAAGTGCTTGCTCATGGTGGGAATTGTTGGGTCTCTATAAATAATAGCACAAAGAGTACGGTCTACACCTGCTCTATTTGAAAAGCACTATGAGATAACTGTTGTTGTGAATTGTCACTACATAAATAAAATTAAAGTGCCCTCCAGCAGCTTGAACTCCCTTTTCATGACATGTTTTTGTCAACACGTTCTCACTCCCAAGTCATTACAAATGGACGCATGGTCAAGACCTGATGTAATGCACTGGGGAGCCCCGTCAACATTGAATGATTTTATTTAAGTTATGTAAATTAAGTTGTGTAAGTAACATTACTTTAATTACGAGAGTTAAGTCACATAAATAAGTAAGTAAGTTTTGTTCACCAAAACCCTGATGTTTTACTAAACCTAACCAAATAGTTTTGGTGCCTAACCTCAACCAAATTGCAATGTTTCACAACATTAACCCCTAGTTGTTGTTTTTTTAAGTCTAACTGGACGTTGTTTCTTAATGCTCACTTCATCACAGAGTCCTACATGTCTGCAAACAATGTTAAAGGGGAACCAAGGACGTTAAAAAGTGACACCAAGAGGTCTTGACCAAGCATCCATGTGACGAGTTGGGAGTGAGAATGAGTTGGGTTTTTTTTAGCTGTAACCTTGACTAGCACTTTAGCCTGAGCAATTCACAACTTACCCCTTAGTAGACATTTTGTTCTTGGGCCCCAGGAGACCCCCCCTATCTACTGCTCCTTTGTTCATTGTTCCCATTCAGTTCAGCATGCCTAGTATTCTTATGATGGAATACATCATTTGTGGCAATTAAACACAACTATATGTGCATCCTGTGGACACAATATAAACTAAAAAAACTGAACTTTTAAAACAAAATTTAGAGAGTTTTTAAAATCTTATTTGATTAAATCTTTTACAGGGACAATGCGAATGGTTGTCAGAGCTTAAATATCATCTCAGTGAGAACTGAGATGAACTCCATGCAAGTGAAAGCTACGCAAAATTCCCAGTAAGTAGACCTTGTGAAGCTGCTAAGGTCAATATTGATCTTTAAGCTCACACTTGAAGCTGCTACAGGCTACAATAGAACTGCTACTTGTGTCCTCATTGAAATATTATTAAACTGATCAATTTCATTCTTTGTTTAAAATGTAAGACTTTATTCTTTCACTGGTGGTATTTTCATTAACAGAGACACTGTATATATATATGTGTACTGTAGATGTTAGGTTTCTGTACATATGTATAGAATAATGTTGTGATTAAACTGAAAGAACAAAAGGTAGTACTACTTGACAAGATTTAAAATATCATGATAATGTCATATATCTGTAAAGGCCTAGAATATAACCTCAATGATATTCTAATGTATGTCATGTATCCTCAAGGTCTCATAATCAGTGTTATATTTATTATTGAATTAATTGATATTAAACAAGCTAAGATAGCATCAGATTTTTGTTTTGTGTTTGTTATTTTCAGAGGAACCTAGGAACGAGTACAATTGGCAGACACTAATTATGTGATAACTTTAAAAGACATTGGCCACACTATCTCATCACCATACTTTTTACTTAAAGCATTTTTAAAAGCAGGTAATTTGACTCAAGTAGAAATTTAAATTAAAGACTTCTACTTTTAGTGGAGTAATAATTTGCAAGGGTATCTGTACTTTTACTCAAGTGTACTTCATTCACCACTGTCTATTCCACTGTATTATTTTATAATATCATATTTGGATGTGGAGATGTATTTCATAACAACTTACCAACCAGACATTGCTCTCTGGTCAGCGTCTCCCAGACTTCAAAACTGTTTTTATTTTTTCCAAACTTCATTAGAAGACATCCATCCATCCATCCATCCATCGTCAACCGCTTATCCTGCATACAGGGCTGGAGCCAATCCCAGCTGCCATTGGGCGAAAGGCGGGGTACACCATGGGCAAGTCACCAATCCACCGTTAGAAAACATGCCACACATAAAAAGGTAAAAGGTGGCCAACTAGCCATAATTATAATAAACATACAAGTAACACGGTAAACAATATGAGTACTATACATTAGGCCTAATTAAATAAAATACAAAGAAGATAATACAATTTTAAAAACTGTAAGAGACATCTTTGTTAAATCTTTTCTGTAGCAGATTAATTGTATGTACAGGATGAGACACAATATAAGGACTATAAAACCGTTTTTATTGTTTTACAAACTTTATTAGAACACATGTCACACATAGCAAAAGGTGACCAACTAGGCGAAGTTATAATAACATGGACAAAACATACAAGTAACAAGGTATACTATATCAGTATTATAAATTAATTTAATAAAGAAATTACATTAAACAAAAAAGAAGACAATACAAATTTAAAAATCTAAACCTCTCCTGAAGCAGTTTAATTGTATGTACATGTATAATTTATAAATAACTGTTAAAAACACATCTCTAATTCTTTGGCATTTCCTTCCTTCCTCCTTAAGAAAGATATCATCAAAACAATTTTAATATCAATATATATGCCTATCATATATTTTGCTGTACTTTTACCTTGTTAGCATATCAGCAAAGTCGATACTGACATTGATGAGACCCGAAATGGACGACTACAAAACCCACAATCCTCTGCTGCTGTCACTGACGTCACCCGGAGTCCGGACCCGGCGTAGCTCCGTCAGCGTCGATGTGCGTCTGGCAACAAAAGAGTTACATTTCAAACAGTTTGCGACATTTTGTCGACGACAGTGTTTTGGGGGAATTTATCACAGGTGGGTTCATCAGCGAAGTGACGGGGCTACAAATGTAGATTTTATTTAAAGTTTGCAGTTGACACGGCTTCGTTTTTTAATGTTGAAGTTGACCAGCTGGCTGCTAATAGGTGGCTAACAAGATGGCTTCGTCCATTTACTGCGGAACAATAACAAAGACTGACTCACAGCGTGAACTTTAAAGTGGCTGTTGTGTGTTTTGGTGTTGTTCAGCATAATGTAGTTTAAAATGTAAGTTGCTGAAATAAGGACGTTTTGAATTGGTGTCGTTTTCAGGCAGCAGTCGCTAGTGATGACACCGCCGCTGTTACTGTCCGTTGGAGGAAGAGGAAGAGGAAGGAGGTGATGATGATGATGATGATGATGACATGCAGTTAGCTGGCTGCCTGGCTGGCTGACGGACGGACTTGAGCCCACTGTGGTCTTCGGTGTCCACCCCCACTAATCCAGACCAGGATCCGGGACGACGAGAGGCGAAGATGCCGCGGAGAAAACAGTCCAACCCGCAGCCGGTGAAATGTGAGTTTACCTCTGCTTTCCTCCAGCTGTTTGAGTTTGCATCTGGTGTCTAATGAGCTGCCTTTCTTTTTTTTTTTTTAAAAAAAAACGTAAACTCGCTTGTATAGTTTAAGTCAGTGACTTTTGTCCACTTTAATCTTCCTTTTTTTTAAAGTTTAAATTCTTGAGTTTAGCTCTGGAAATGTTGCCAAACTGGTTTAACATATTGACATTGCAGGCTGGGTCTCTTCCTCATTGTCTCTCAGAGAGGAAGACTGTTGGAGACATGTTGTCCTTTAGGTAGATGTGTTTGTGCGTGTTATCTCATCCTGACTGCTCTGGCTCGGTTGGACTCTCCACTTCCTCTCTTCCTCCTCTCTGCTTCCTGTCTGCACTTCCTCTTCGCAGACCAGTACCTGACCTCCCAGCGCGCCCTCCTCTCCATCCCGTCATCCTTCCTTTCTTTCTTTCTCTGCTTCCTGTTTGACTTCTTTCTAACCCCCTTACTTTTTAATGCTGTCACCTCGACCTTTAGTCTCTGTTTTATCTCAAAAGTGAAATATTTGCTGTTGTTACTTCTTTTGTCACAGCTGTACTCTGTGTTTACCTGAACTTACCAAAGCAAGTTTCACCTTGAACTTCTTGTATATGAGTCCCGTTTTCGACGAATGGGATTCCAGAAACCAGCTAGTTTTCTCCTGAGGAAAGTATACGTCGCATGTGAGCAAGTGCATGACAAATACAGGGAAATAAACGCTGTCACAACAGGGGGGGGGTCAAAGGAAAGGTCATTACATCCTTGTAGTCAAATTAGTTTTATTCAGAGTCGAGTGACTAAAACTGAAACTCACGCTAAGTAGCAAGATGTCGGGTTTTCACAACTGAACTCGTGGCTATTTGTAATGTTCAGCCTCTATAAGGGTGAAACAATCAGGAAGCAGCCTCGTGTATAACCCAGTTTGAATAAGTAAAGGCTGCAGAGTATTTCATCATAGAAAGTTTTATTATCGCACTTCCTTTTGGTCTCTTTTCTTTTTACTTGTTTACAGTCATTAACTAGTTTTGTACAGATTTGATTCCAGTGTCATAGGATAATGCTCAAATACAACTTTGGTCGCACAAATATTGGTTATCGCTGTCACAGAGAGGGATGAGATGAATTGTGGAAAGTGGGTAGAACGCTGCACGTGTTGAGGTAGTCTTTCCTCGAAATGCGTTCATGGAGTGTCACAAGTTTGCCCAGACAAAAAGTGACAAATATTTGTGTGCGGAGGTGGGGGGACTTGAGAGAGAAGTTCAAACTATTATCACACCTTTACACACCCGCCCAATGACTGCATAAAGTGGGCGCAGTTTTCTGCTTCAGAGAGGTACAAAAATATATCGCAGCAGCCCCCAGGACGGAGTTTCAGACGCTCTTCTAACATCCGACGTGAACTTTGTTTTAGGGGCCGTGTCGTCTAACCTTTGGGTTTTCTGTTGTTGAGATGTTTCAAAATCAAAATACCACTGGCCAGGTAGTTCTGTCTGACTTTTCCTAAGTAATCATTTAGTCTGTAATACGTCAAAAAGGTCTGAAGGTGACGTCTGGAAATGTTGCATACGATCGACAGTCCAAAGATATCCAGTTTACTATTTTTAAAACCACAAAGGAGAAAGCTAAACTTCCAGGAAAAGCAGCAAATCCTCCCGACTAAGGAGCAGGAACCAGGGAATGTTTGCACTTTTACAGATTATCAGTTGGTGATTGATTTTTCTGTCATGCGACCAAGTCTTAAAAAAAATGCCAAATCATTATTTCTTTCAATTTTTAAAGCTGCTCCTGAGTGAAAGTTGAAGAAACCAGACGGTTAATTGTGATTTTAAACTTTTCTTTATGGTCATAACAAACACTTGATGCTAAAGAATGGATCGCTTCACAAATCTCAGGCAGAACATTCAAAACAATTTAATAAAATAAAAAAAAGTTTCCAACAAATATGCATGAAAAAAATTAAGTAAAATCTTTTCAGTCCCTTTTCCTCCAATAAAACAAATATCTTAATAGAAAAATTAAGTGCTAATTTGTTCATGATTCAAATGAATTAAATCAAACATTTATTGGACATTTGTTATATTGACAAAAATGATATCGTGATAATTATCATCATTGTTTTATTGCCAGCCCTACAAGTGACTTATCAATGAATTGTTTCAACTCTAGTGTTGATAGGAAGTTAAGAACCACTTCTCATGCCCCACTTTTGAAGTCCTGCTAGAAAAAAAGAAATGGTAACTTCAAGTTCAAAACAGGAGAAAATAATAATTTTCAGGCCACAATTCTGTGCAGCCTTAAGAAATACTGGATCTGGAAGCTAGTGTGTTGTGGACGGTGTGTTTTTTCATTGTTATTACCTAATTAATTTAATAAAATATCACTATTTATCAACAAGAAGAACAGATGTGAGCTGGATCACTTATTATCTGGCAGAAAGTGTCGTGGATCATCAGTGCTGTGTTTTCATCCCATCTTTCACTCATCTTCCTTTTCCTGGCGCAGCCTCGTTCCTTATCTCGTCCTCACTGATTTCCTTTACTTGTCTGCTTGATGTCTTCTCCTCTCTTTCGTCTCTCGCTTCCTCTCCACATCCTTTTTACTCTTGACCATCTTCTTCTTTTTTTCTTTTTCTGAACCCAAATCTTGATTATCGCACTTCCCTCTGTCCTTTCTTACGTGTCTACAGTCTCAGACAAAACGCCTGTCACACAAGATTCCACTTTCATATGCTCCAATAGCCTTCAACCTTTGAGCTCTCTTAACATGTATTAAAAACATGTATGTGTTGCTGTTTTGTTTTTTTTATTATCAACATTCATTTCGCAGGTACCAGCACATCTTGCTCTGTAATACACACAGTGTACAAAGCTCACTTTTTTTTTAAAGGAAAATAAAATGTGTGTTTATAAAGCAGGAGCATGTATATGTTTTAGAACAGCAGATAGCTCAGTGTCTTCTTCTCATGCTAATGTGGACTTTTTAAACAAAAGTTGACAGGAAAGTATGTTGTAGGACTTTTATCAGCACAGCTGTCACCCAAACCTAAATGCTCTCTTCGTGTCGAGCTTTCATTTACTGCTTTGGTGACGTGTTTGGAAGCTTGTGTTTGGCATGTTTTTATACAAGTAATGATGAGAAATGTTTGTGTGTGTGTTCAGTGGAGTCGGAGGACGGGGCGGTGGTATGTGAGCCGGGCTGCCTGGTTCTGGAGAGCGACTTCCTGCTGAGCGGAGAGCTGGAGTTTGGAGACTCTGAGATCATGGGGCTTGATAGAGAGTCTGGTCAGTAACGCACACGCACATAGAGATGCAACTAATGATTATTTTCATTATCGATTAAACCCCCAATTTATTTTATGATTAATCATTTAGTCTGTAATATGTCAAAAAAATTGTGATCTTGAGATTATTTATTTTATCCAACAAACAGTCGAAAACCCAAACACTCTTAATTTACTATCAATATGACGGTTTATGAAGCCGGAACCAAAAAATGTTGCTTGAAAAATTACTGAAACAATTAATCCATTATCAAAATAGTTGACTGTTAATTTTCTTTCAGTCGACTAACTGTTGCAGCTCTACACACAAACATTGGATTGAACGTTTTGAAGTTTTGACAGCCCAGTTTGACTTCCGTACGAGCTGGTAGTTGGTCAGACCTTCGAAATAAAAGCTCAGTGTATTGGAATAAAAGGTAAAACGTACTTTCTGTATGGCTGTGGGGGGTCAGAGTAACAACACACTCTCAATCACTTTGAATTAAAGCTCACCGAGGCTTCACTTCACTCGGTTGTAGGAGCTGGAGGTTTAGGCTACAGAGAGTTCTGCCAAAGCTGACATGTCTTGTTAAAAAACAAATAAAGAGGAGCAAACAATACGTTTTGCTCGCAGGCTTCTGTCAGACCTGCTCTGTGTGTATTCATACGTCTACATCTGCTAGTGGCCTGAATATAAGATGATATTTTTTTTCTACTCGCATTGGAAAAAGCAGGAGCCGTATTATATTCGAGGACAAGACACAACACGGGATTTTCTCTGTGAATGGAGAGATTAACTGCTGTCTGAGCTATCAGTCAGTCTCCTTCAGTTTAATCTTCAGGCCTCATGTTGCGGGTTTTTCCTGCAGAGAATCGTTTTGAAGACGATCTGACAAAACGAAAACAGCTGGAGAAAGTCCCTCAGTCCGCCTGACGGGAGGGCGAACGAACGTGTGACAGAATGAAGAAGAAGCCATGCAAATAAAAAAGCTTCAAAGATGATGATGATCAGAAAGGACTAGTCTGATAAAATGTTCAGAAAGTCTTTTTCCAACAGTTGTAAAACAGATTTTATCTTATGTTCAGACGAACGGTAATTCACAGGTTCAAATGTGTCAGAAATGCTTATTGTGTTTCTTTTTTATGTCGCCGTTTGTATAAGTGACCAACAAGTAGTGTAGATGGATCTTATCTCAGACCCTGAATCCATCATATTCAATCCACTTCCTCCTTATTTAAAAATTAATGTCAAGTCAATAAAAACTGTGAGAAACTATGAGTTTAAGTCGAGGTAAAGTGTCAAACTGGCCACAAAACAGATTAGGAGATTAAAAATGCTGCTTTTTCCGCAGTGCAGAGATGACTGAAACAAGTCCTGATAAGCATATTTAGTTATTTAGAGGAAATACTACCACGAAAATAAAAGTATGACTCATCAGATAGAAATCTCACACACGCCCAAACTCAGTCAAGTGTACCGTTACAGAGATAAATGAAACAATACAAGACCAACGAGAGCCACCTTTTATTTAAAACCACAGAGAACACATTTAGTTTTCTTTACTACACAGTTTCCATAAGAACTGACTTTGTGTCTGGTTCATTTTATATTTATAATTTTCTAAATATCCTCACAGCTTGGTATCTCTTGTGATATAAAATATGAGATTCTGAAGGTACATACATGAAGGTTTTCTTTGCTTCTGTTCTTCCTCAGGTATGACGGTCTTCTCTCTGAGCGTTGAGGACGATGCTTCAGCACCAACAGACTCCAGCTTCCCAGCTTTCCTCTCCTGTAAAGGATGTGGTCAGCTTCTGGGAGACACGCCTCTGGCTGCAGGTTTAGATCTGGGTAACTGTTGCTTCATTTCACTTTGTTTTACTTTTAAAAAATTTGTGGTGTGTGTGTGTGAAAACCACCAAGAGAAAAAGGTAGAGGGGGAGGCTTTGTCAACATATTCTCAAGCGTCTGTGGCTACACCAGGCCATGTTTGTCTCATCCTCACCACATACCAACATGTTTTAGATGCTTCGTCGAAGAGCGATTAGATCAGATTCTTTCATATACAGCAAACACATTATAGGTTAGTCCAAATGTTCACAAAACCAGAAATAAAGATTCTCACATTAGACAATTACAACATAAATATCTTATCTTTTCATGTTGTGTTTTAAGTGGCTACAGCGAGAAGCTCACATGCAGACATCAGTTTCTCCACAGAAACACACATTACAGGCAAGAAGCATCAAACAGTAGAGCCTTCGTTGCACATTGTTGTGCTTCTAAGTATTTGTATAAGAAGACATTGTGTTCATAATTCAGGAAATCCTGACAGCTGTAACATTTCATTTTCTGTTTTTTGTTGTTGTTTCATCTTGATGGAAACGACACCATTTGGGGGAAAAAAAGGCCAGCTCCGCTTCCTCTCGTCTTTACTCATATAAAATGTGATTTATTTTGTTCCAGGTGTGGGCCTGGACCTGGGGGCGGAGCTTTATTGTCTAACCTGTGAGGAAGGCCTCCAGCATGAAGCCTCCATCAACTCCTCGCAGATGGAGGGGTCAAACCTGGCGGACCGCTCCATCAGCGGGGGCTCCGACAGGAAGAGGAGAAGTGTCGGCAAGACAGGCGGCGCTGTCGGCATCCCTCCTAAAGTTTACTCCTGCTCGCTGTGCGCCTTCACCTCCCGCTACTCCAACCATCTGAAGCGCCACATGAGGACCCACGACGGCCATAAGCCGTACCGCTGCCCCGTCTGCCCCTACGCCTCGGCCCAGCTCGTCAACCTCCAGCGCCACGCCCGCACCCACACCGGGGAGAAGCCGTACCGCTGTCCCCAGTGCAGCTACGCCTGCAGCTCCCTCGGCAACCTGCGGAGACACCAGCGCATGCACACGCAGGAGAGACCGCAGAGGAGGGAGAAGGAGAAACGGCGAGGGAGACGGAAAAAAGCTAGTGCTGAAACTGAAGAAGGTAAATTTATTAAACCACATTGAATTTAAACATTTCCAGCATGTTAAATCTTGATCAGAGGTGTTTCCATGGACTTCTTGATACACATTCAACTCCTCCAGCTGATTATTTCCTCCATTAATCTATCGTTGGATCTATAAAAATATCACGGAAAATGCTTATGACAATTTTCTAGAGTCCAAGGTGACATCTTCACGTATTGTTTTGTCGAACCCAAAAATATTCAGTTTAAATGATTTTTAAGAGAAAAGTTTCATGTACTTAAAGTAGAAATAGTTGAATCAAACGTCTGCATTGTTTGTGGAAGATATTTTGTCCAATTATAAAGATTTGAAAGCTAGTAAGGGACAGTTGAGCTTAGATTATTTCGTCGTACGTACTTTACATGCTGTGGTTTTATAACTTTTACCTCAAAATGCAAATGTTGGATCTCCCTGCACTCAACACACAAGTTACTTATTGAGTAAAAAACATCAGGAAAGAGCTCCATGACGTGGTTGATGCAGAAGGATAAATAAAATGTCCCTATTGCATGAGATGTAAATCCAGTTGATCCTCTCTTTATTATTTGCCTAAAGCAGAACATAAGTTTCTTTTATCCGGCAGGGAAACATAATAATTTTGAGAGCACGGAGCGGAGTAGAAAAGAGGAACCAACATGTCAAAACTGAAAGAGTTTGAAAAAAAAAAATAAAAAATGAGAAGGAGAAGTTGTCCCTGGTTGAGTGCTTATCAACCCCCTGCCAACCTCTGCTGAGCTCAGCTGCACCACGAGGGGCGAGAGGACCATGTTTACACTCAGTCCTCCCAGCGTAGATGATAATTATCCATAAAAACTGAGTGAAACTGTGACAGCAAGGCGTCAGTAAGAAAGTCAAACCATCAGAGGAAACAAGAACCAGAAGGGATTTTTTTATATTTAAAGACAAGAGTGTAAGAAGAAGTAAAAGTAGGAAGTTTAAATTTGAGATGGAAGATAAGTTTCTTATTATCAGCAAAAAACTGCAGCATTTTGCTTTGAGGACTGTTCTTTGTGGGGGGGTTTCTCAGTTTTTCATGGTTCAGTGAAATAATAAAGTAGAATTTGAGAGTTCGATCAGACTCTGTAAAAATAAAAACTACATTTCATATGCACAAATACTTTTTCTCTCTTCGTCATGCAGTGGTGTCGGACCTGACCCTGCGAGTGTCCCAGGACTCGGGTTACCTCCAGACCTTGGGGGCCCTCGGCTCTCCCTCCGCCCCGCTCCCTGTCCTCCTCTTCCCCCTGTGCTGCCAGGTGTGTGGCCTCACGCTGGAGGAGGCCGACCTGGAGGGGGACAAGGCGGAGGGGGAGGGCGACGGAGGACAGGTACGTTTCTGTTTGTGTTTATCTTCTTCCTTCTTGTTAAACATGAGTCAGGCTGAGGATTGCATCACTGCCTCAGAGAACTGTTTCCTCGTGTGAAGTTTATGTTGGAGAAAGTAGATTGTGCAATGTTTTAGTTTGTTTCCATAGAAACGAGCTGTCTCAGCACGCAAACGGAGAGTCTGTCCACCCAAAACTTCCACAGAAACTCATAATAATTATGATAAAACTTTTCTACTTCCATGATGACTCTGAATTGCGGCCTCCTCTGGCTGCCCGCTAACTGATTTTACTACAAACTGTGGTTAAAAACAGGATTCAACGATTAAATGAAAATCTATGATTGCAGTTTTTCTGCTACTGTGATTAAAATTGCACTTATTTTCTCTAAATTAAACCTCAGGTTATTAAACATTATGTATTATAAATAAAATGATATGTTTAATATATATTTGTATTTTTTGTTTTTACACTTGATTTGAATGGATCTTTTATTAATAAAAAATAAAAACAAACATAAAAGGTAAACTATGTAAAAGAAGACTTGTCTTATGTTTATTGTTGTTACATTGCACGTTGTCACATGTAAATCAAAATGTGATTAAAGAAAATTGCAGAGGGAGTTTAAGTTTTTTTCTGCCCAACTTTTAAGCCAACCAATCAGAGGGTTAGTTCAGCCTGAACGTAGCCTGAGAGGTGAAAGGGTCCCTGCTGCTGCTAAAGCTTATTGCTCTGAACGCACAGTAAGAAATGAAGGCAGCATGAATGTGTCGGCCTTTTTATCACCTCAGAGGTGGAGAGTCAGACGAGATTTTGGTCAGTAAACACCCGAATGTCTCCTCCTTCTGGCGAGGTGCCACCTTTCACGTGTACTCTGGATTCATTTTTAGGTGTGTCGTCGCTGCTCGTTGGACCTGCTGTCCAAAGATGGATCCAGGCCTCCCTGCAGTCCACCCGCTCCTCGTGGATCCCGGCGGGGTCAACGTGGCACCAAGCTGTACCGCTGCCCTCACTGCCCCTTCCTGTCCCACTACCCCAACCACCTGTCCCGCCACGCCCACACCCACTCCGAGGAGAAACCCCACCGCTGCCCGCACTGCCCCTACACCTCCTCGCACCTCGACAACCTCAAACGCCACATGCGCGTGCACACGGGCGAGAAGCCCTACCAGTGCCCGTCCTGCAGCTACGCCTGCGGGAACCTCGCCAACCTGCGGCGACACGAGCGCATCCACTCGGGCGCCAAGCCGTTCCACTGCGGCGTCTGCGGCTACTCCTGCAACCAGAGCATGAACCTGAAGAGGCACATGCTGCGGCACACGGGCGAGAAGCCGTACGCCTGCGCCGAGTGCGACTACACCACGGGCCACTGGGACAACTACAAACGCCACCAGAGGAAACACGGACACAACACGGACAGCTGGGAGAAGCACGCACCCATCAACGGCCTCAGCTGGGGCAAAGACACTCAGGAGAGCCAGAGTCAGGGACAGGAGCTCAGCTAGATACACTGTGTGTGTGTGTGTGTGTGTGTGTGTGTTTTACTATGTTTGTGGGGTCCAAAAACCGGTAATTCACTATACTTGTGGGTTCCGACAACTTTGTGGAGACAGAAATGCAAGTTTAAAGGGTTGTTCGAAGGTCAAGTTTTAGGGTTTGGCACTTATTTGTCATGTTTGGTATAAGGTCCCCACGAAGATAGTGACACGTGAGATACACTGGTGAACCTCCAGCAGCTCAGGTTGGAGCTAAACTCAGGTGCCTTTGACAGACTGCAGTGCTACACTGACTGTGTGTGTGTGTGTGTGTGTGTGTGTGTGTGTGTGTGTGTGTGTGTGTGTGTGTTGCATACAAACATTTGCATCACACACACTTTTCTTTAGTAAATGCAGTCCAGACTTATCTTCTGGTCTTTTCTATCTGTGTAACCGATCTAGTGAATTGAAATGTTTATTTTTTTTTCTCTACAGATAATCTATATTTTGTAAATGTGGGTGGATTTCTTTCATAACAGCAGGGCGGATCATCATCTCACAAGCATTAAGTGGTTTTGATTAGGTGGTGGTGAGTTTTGTTTTTTATCCAGGAAAGGTTGCACTCAGTTATTCAGTGGGGCTCCTGTGCAAGCTTCAGCCTGGTTCCCGACCTCCTGAATCTTCGTCAATGTCTCACATTTTATTTCCTGTTGTTTTTTTTCCCCCTCCAATCAGAGCACTATGTTTGCAGCATTAGGAATGGGGATGTCATTTTCCTACAAGCTACGTAGTTTTAATGACAGAAAAATTATCACTAAAATGTCAACGAAAACAGAAAAATACTCTTAAATCAACATATTTTTTCAGTCATCAAAGCAAACGCAAACTGCTGCTACAAACCACTACCACAATTGAGAATTATGTAGATTATTCAGGAGAAAACTAAACAAAATCACGCAGCTCGCAGAGTAATGGGGGGGAAGAAATGTTAACTCAGTCTGATCATGAGGCTGGTGCAGGTTTCAAAGTTGAAAGGGAGTTTTACAGAGAATTTTGGAATTTGACAAATTTAAAAAATTGCAGAACTTTTTGTTGCTGGAAAGTGCATCAGACATGTCTTGAATTTACATCTTCAATCTCATAAACATAATGGCCTTTTATCTCGCATGTAATTACAGCTGGATTTGCGAAATCTCTGACATCCCTAATATGTTGTATTCCACACTCAACATGTCGAGAATATTTAACATTAAAGAATGAGTCCTTGTTTTGCTGCATTGAGCCAGAAAAATCTCTTGAAAAAGAATTACATGTTCAGACTGAAGCAAAATGCTGTAAAATCATGACTTTAAAGAGTCGGGAAGGTTGGAGATTTTAAAATGCACAGGAGCCCTGCTGTCTGAGCGAGGCGAGTTTTCTGTTTGAACCTGACCGATCCTTTCTAATTTTTAATTTTGTTTTTTTTTAGATCTATATCCTGGAAATTAAATTAATTTATTCCAGACAGGGAGACTCCCTCACTTTTGAGACGACATAGCTTGTTTCAGCCTAGATGTAGTAAAAGAATCAGCCTGTTTACCTCTCAGACATCAACAATTCAGGGAAGAAAAGAAACATATTGAGTCAATAAACTCTCCATTTTATTAAATCATGAAATGTTCCATCAACCTGAAAAAGTTATTGTTATTTATTTTCAGTTATTTTATATATTTTGTAAAAATCTTGGCTCACAGAACGAGAATTTGGTTTTGACAGAAGGTGAAGCTCTGTAGGTGATGTGAAGCCCGTTTTCTTCAGGCATTATTACTCGTGTGTTAATAAGCTATCAAATCAAGTAGCAGTCAATCAAGTACAGGCTCAGAAAGCAGATTAAGATCAACTCTAAATGTCACAACTGAATTTTTCAGGCTAGTAGAAATATAATGGACTAAACAAAGCTGGCTGGAGAATACAAGAACGTTTTAGAAACCAGTTACTCAACAAACTGGCCTTTTGCTTTTTATTAATGATGGTTGGTGTTCAACAAGCAGTGGCACTCTGAATAGGGATTTGTGATACTTTACAGCAAAAACATCATATATATATATAAAAATATGAAGCCCTCGGATGCTCAAAAACGTCACTGCTTGTATGTGCAAACCTTTTCTGTTTCCATTTTTTACCGAAGACTGTTTGTGTTTAAAGTAACAGTTTAATGTTTTTGAAAATATGCATATTTGTTTTCTTGCCCAAAATTAGATAAGACAGTCTTAATTCAGGACGTGGTTAGCCTAGCTTAGCGTAAAGAGACGGTTAGAGTGGTTCTGTCCAAACTTTACAAAACACGACTACGAACACCTCCAATGACACACGTTTTCTGTTTTGTTTGTCCGACCTGCACACAGACAGAAGTAAAAAAGTGTCGTCACAGTGAGGTTGCCAGGTGTGTTGTTCACAGTGCCTTCATTATCTCTAATAAAACAAGTCTGATTGAAGCTGTGTTGAAGCTACTTCCTCTTTCACGCTCTCTGTTTAAGGAAACACCTGCTTCTCACGGCCGGAGGTGCAGAGACGAGGACAGTGAGGGACACAAGATGCTCACTGATGAAATATCTCGTGTAAAAAAACAAAAAAAACAAAGAAATGTTCCCCAAAATTCACCCACACCCACATAAAAAAAACACCTGATGTGAAGCTGGGACACTCTACAACACATATAAGAAAAACAAATGAGGTTTGTGTAAGTGTGCTGAGGGGCGATGGCTGCGAGGTCAGTGGACTGTGACTGTGACAGACTGATGATCTCTGTATGTAAAGCAGATGTGGTCCTGTGTGTGTGCACGCGTGTGTTGTGGATTTAATTTCTAAGGTGACTGAAGAAAGCCACAGTGAATACCTTAACCCATGGGCCTGGTGAGTAAATAATTTCATCTTCTATTTGAGTGTCAATCTGCATTTTGTCACCAATATTTGTGTGTAAATCTTTCTTTTAATTTATTTTAAATGTTTAAGTGTTTTGTTATATTTTAGTTTGGGGTTTTTACAGTGTAACAAGTGACTTAATGGTTTTACTAATACTTTATACATCAGTATTTGGGTTGCAAAGAAGTGAAATTCCACACTTGCTTTGTCTTTTTATCTCTTAAATTAATCAAAACTCAAAATCAAACACTTTCTGGAAAATGTTCTGGGAAGAAAAAAGTATTCTGCGAAACGTTTATACCAAAATCCATTGACAAACCATTAAAATTTTAACGCTTGAAAACAATAAATAGTTGCTTTGATGGATGTATTTAAAAGAAAAAGCACAGACTTCCTGTGGCCTCATGACTTCTATCTTTAAACTGTCCAAAAAGTGTGACAGAAGCCTCGCAGTCATGTCCAAACATAAATACTGTGACTGTTTCTTGAAAACTTACTCAGTTTTCCTAAAACTGTCTCTTTGGCGTCCCACTAAATCAATTGAATTTCACTAAAGCCTATAAGGGTATTAATTCCACCAAATAAACTACTTCATTCTGACTCAGTACTTGAATGTGCCCCCTTTATCTTCGCTTCTGTTTTCCCCACACACGCACACACCTCTGGGGTCTTATTTATAAAACTGAAAGACGACTAAAGGTTGCGCAGTGACAAAACACAGGAAGTGTGTGAGCACCATATTCAGATTTATAAAACAGCGTCACCCTATTTAACAGATTTTATGTCACACTTTGTTGAGACTGTGGACCTCGCCTCATAGAAAGGCTCCCTCCTTATTTTACTTGCTTTGATTCACTCAATTCCTGGAGGCCAATGGGATCATGATCATTATTTTATGACCGGGTAGACACTCAACAATAGAGCCAGGATATCTGAAATTACTGTTTGACTTACCTTCAGCCTACATATAATACATCTCCTCAGACAGTTAGTAGTTTTCTCTTTCTGATAAACTGGATCTCTGAACTACGTCTTTAAGCAAATCACGCGTTTAGTCTATTCTATGTGATCTCCGTTTAATAACTAATAGTAATGTAATATTTATTCACTTTCATTTACTGAACCTCCTCTGTAACTGTCTGGACCCCCTTTTTTCATTTAATTGGATGATTTTTATAGCAACACTAGAGGAATGTCTCCAGGGATGGCAAAGTCGGTTAATACTGAAATATCTCAACAGGATGGACTGACATTAAATGTGGTTCAGACACTCTTGTTCCCCTCCGGATGAATTAGAAATAACTTGAGTCATCCTCTGGCTTTTAACCATCATCGTCATCGACAGGTCAAGATTTCAATATGTGTCCAGTTCTTTGGTTTATGACCAGATATGACTGAGTACAATCCCATAAAACCTCAGCTGGACTTTTGTTTACTGCAAATTAGCAAACATTAGCATGCTAAGAAGCTAAACAAAGAAGGTGAACCGCAAATATTGTACTTGCTAAACATCAACATTCAGCATTTAGCTCAAAGAGCTGCTAGCATGGCTGTCATCTGTTTTTAAAACGGCAACCTTTCTGTAATGTAGTGAACATGTCAAAATGTGTTTTCAGACTTTCAGGTTGTGGATTAAAGCCATTTTTACAGTTTGTTGTATTTCTGTAGATTTTCAACTGTAGATTTGATGACTGGTTCTACAAATCCTTAACTTACTAACTTTCTGCTGATCGCTTATTGGAAACTGAGAAGCCCACGACCTCATTAATGACTTTATTAACATTTGTAACAACACAATTGACATTTCATAGGAAAGTTGGAGCCATTACACGTTATTAACGACTTACTAACATTCATAACTGCAGACCTGATGTCCTGGTTTGCCACACTTTATAAAAGGTGCATGGCTTTTTCACACCTAGCAACTCAAGAGGCCTTCTAATCAATCATTAGTTATGACTTATAAACCTTTAATAAAAAGCTGCTTTATTAGAGAGTGGCACCATGTTTTGATGTAAATGTTTTTAAATTAATAGAAATAGACGGAAATGGTCTAAAAGTGATACGATGCCTGACACACAATGATTAGTATTTATAAAAATGCTTCTCCTTTTGTGGCTTCCCGCTCAGGTGACTTCACCCTTTGCTGTGGTTAAAGAATAAAAACACCCATTTCTGGCTGCAGGACTGCCGTTGAATACTATTAAATATTGTTAAAGTTCTAAGCTCGGTGAACATGGAGGACGTTGACGTCATGACCTTGATATTTAGGGGCATGTGTTGGGTTCAGCAGCCTGTTACTGTGTGTAAACTCTGTGGGAAATCAGGTGTGACAGTATTCTACCAGGATAATGATCGGTAACTTAGGTTTTGACGTTTGGGCCTCCAGTTTGTCAGATCCTTTATATTATCACAAGTATGTCTCTTTTTTTGGGGGGGGGGGGGGTTTGTTCACATGGAAAAATAAGGCGTTTTTAAGCCACGATTTTAAGAAATGTCTGGAAATTATCTCTAATAACCATAATCAATAATTCTTCTGACAAAACTGAACTAAAAAAGTAACAGAAACCATAATGAAGGCATCATTTCTATACGTGAAGATAAAACCTGATAAAACCACATTTATTCATTTAGCTGACGCTTTTATCCAAAGCGGCTTACAATTGCTATTTAGGTCAGAGGTCGCACGCCTCTGGAGCAACTAGGGGTTAAGTGTCTTGCTCAGGGACACGTTGGTGGACACCATTGAACGCCACCCCACCACAAAAGCCGTCTTGAGTCATTTCCTTGATGAATCTGTTCTGTTATTGACAACTTCTGACAACTCGGTCACAAAATTACACGATTCTTTCTGCCGTCTCTGTAGAAACACTCCAAACCCAAGTTGTTCCCGGGGGACATCGTGGAGTATCCCAGGAACAAATACTTCTCTCATTTCGCCGTGTACTACGGAGAGAGGGACGGCGTTCCCTACGTCGCTCACCTGACATGTCGAGGTTGGTGTCGTCAGGCCTTCTGTATAAGACTCATTTTCTTAAAACAAGTATCTGAGTATAGAGAAAATTCACAGTAAGAATTTTACCAATTACATTCAAGAGCTTCTATTATCTTAAAGAATATAATAACGCTTGTAATGTGTTTGTTTGTCAGATTCAGACTCCAAGCTGCCGCTCTTTGGCCGAGCCCTGAAGTCAGAGGTCAAACTGGATCCACTGGAGCTGCTGGGGAAAAACTACAAGGCAACTATCATGGAAAACATCTGAGAATCTCATAAAATGTGAATTATTGTAGAGATAAACACTGAGTCTTGATGAATTCCCCTCGTCGCAGGTCAACAACATGTTGGACGACTCGTTCTCGGCCAGAGACTTCCACAGCGTGGTGAAGCCGGCCATCGACGACTTGATGGGACGTGAGGTGACGTTTGACATCCTGTTTCATAACAGCGAGCACCAGGCGACGCTGTTGAGATACGGAGTCAAGAAATCTGAACAGGTCAGTACAGAGGGGGGGTATTACTTATTGTTCTTACTGATAAAGTTTCATTTACTTTTCCAATTTGCAGACAGAAGGCTTCTATTATTTCATTGAATAATATCAGGAAGCTCATTATATATAAGTCTTGAATGAAATGACTCTTTTTTTTTTCCTGCTCCAGCTGTCACATGTAGATATCATCATCATCATCATCATGTCTGTTGTCAGGTTGGCAGTTTAACTGTCGGTGTTTAAATTTAAAGCAACATGATGTAATGTATGTAAATATTATGTATTGTTTTAGTGTGGACAGCTCTGTTGTTATGATTACATAAGGATCGAAAACTAGCAAGTGCATGGCGAACTTTGCTAACAGCCAAACATCAAGCAAGTGCAACAACACAACACATAGAAATAAGTCTTAACAGTCCAACAGAAAGAGGACGAGCTCGCCGTCTGTCTTGCAGCCTTTTATTTCATGAAGCTCTCGCCAGCATCAAGCTATCTTTTTCTTTTCTTCACTTCCTCTGTCAACGTCCTCTTCAGTCTCTTTGACTCTAACATTTTGCTAACGTTAAGGCCAGTCTGGGATTTACTCTCTCTTTTTTTCTTTCCTCACCTTCTCCGATGTCTTCTTCTGTCTCTTTTTGGGACTTGAATTCGACCTGGGTTTGCTTCCCACTGCGACATCCACCGATGTGTCTCAGAAGAAGACACCCCTAGTTGCTCCATTTGCTTCCTGTTGCTCTGCCATATATAGCAGTTATAAGTCGCTTTGGATAAAAGCGTCCTAAATGACAAACTATTATTCTTTATTATACTTTTATCCATACAGAGAATACCAAACTAACTACTTCCAAAGAACTTACACTGTACTTTTTGGTTCTTATTAAAGCTTTCTGAAGACTCTTGTAGAGTGGTGGTGCTTTAAAGCATTATGCTGTTCTCACAAGAGAAATCCTGCCCGGGATTTTAGTCTTACAGACCGCCATAGGAAGCTTCCCCGCCCTGTAGAGCCACATTCACGTCACGTTATTACAATCAGTGTACCATTAAAATTATTTTGAAACTGTTGATTTAAGATAGAAATACTACATAATGTTGCTTGAGCTCCACCAGTGAGCTGGTTAAACCTCTCAGGGTTTGGGATTGTTCTAAAGAAAACAACTCAAATCTTTTTCCTCATGAAATACTGGAGACTTTTATTTCTGCGTGACGGAAGAATCGGAGTTTAAATATGAAGCCACCACATTAAGTTATGTAAGATTAATGTGTGTGTTTGTGTGTGTTTTACAGATAGAGAAGATTTATAAACACATCATGCCGGCCTGGAAGAAGCTGTTTGAGCAGAAAAAACTGTGAAAGGTGTTTATGTTCAGTTCTCCCCTCAACCACTGGAGGGCGACACTGTTCTCCTGATTTCAAGGAGAATCATTTTCAAGAACAAAGCTGTTGGATTGGTAGATTAGATGAGCCTAGGACCTTTTTACACTTGTGTCTATTAATGAAAACATTCATAACATAAAAAAGTTGTAATGTTATGGAATTTTAAAGTGGTTATTGGAGAAAGGGTCATAATATTACGAAAGTAGTAATATTTTCAATAAATGAGTTTTACAAGAAAAAAGTCCTAAAAGTTTCAAGATAATCTTAATATATTACTCAATTTAGATTCTCTGAAGAGGTGATATTATGGTGTGACATTTTCTCAAAATACTGGAAAAAGACTGGAAAATCGCAGTTCATTTTTACATTTCTGCTGCATCTGTGATCCAAATGTTTTTCACCAAAAATGGATGCTGCCTGCTGAACCTTTACATAATAAGCTTGTGTGAAGCATGAAGTCCTCTTGGTGCTACAGTTCATCCTTTAAGGATTTTGTCAAGTTTCATGTACTTCAGTTTTCATTTTAGATTATTTTTATCCTTTTTATTTTTTTCCTTTTATTATTAATTAACCTTTTCATCATCTCACCGTTTTCCTATTCTCATTATATCATTATTTGTTTTGGGGATATTTTGTTTTGTCTTTACTTTCTGTACATACTCACATTGTACCACCTTAACTTAAATAAACATTTTGTTTGCCAGCATTTCCAAAACAATCAAATCTATCTTTAACATCTTATACCATTAAACTGCAACAGAGGCTGTGAGTAAAATGTCATGAAGGACAATTAATACAGGCGGACCAATACTAGAATAGCCATAAACTTTTCTTTAATAAAGCAATTTTTCTTTGTCGCAGAGACCTTTGTTGGGCTTTGTCAAATCCCACTTTACAAATAAAGCTGTAGAACAGTGTGAGAATCTTCTGTCTTTCTTCTGTATCAGATTTTTTTATACTACACCTTAAAATATTTCTTTCTTTCTTATTTGTATATATATATTTGTCAAAAATCCAGAAAAACAGCAGCAGAAGGAAGTTTTAGGTCGTTTCTTTGCCCTGAGTTCTGCCTCTCAGGCGACACTTTGTCTCTCAGATTCGATGGAAACGTCTCTGTCCCACCAGTTTGTGTCCCTCAATATCAGTTTTGGTTTTGAAAAAAAGTGATGATTACATTTGAGTCACTAAGTACAGTAACATACTCCTGTTTTTATGAGCATTTTCAATTTGCGCATAAAAAACCTGAGTGTAAAATCTGATAATAATCATAATAAACTCTAATTTGTATATTACCTTTTTATATACAAGAAAACCAGCTCAAAGTGCTTTAAAATAAAGAAAATTAAAGGAATATAAACCAGATAGATGCTGTAATTAAACCCATAAATACCTAAACAACTTGGGGAAGACGCAGGACTCACAACTTTAGTTTTTCCTGGAACCTTAAACTAGACTGTCTTTATTTTTAAACTACTGACTGGAAACTTCTGGATCATCATCTGACATATTGGGATGAAGGAGCTGCTCTCCTTTATGCTAAACTTCAAACATTACTTGTGATGACCTTTGCTCTAACACGCTCTTTGTAATACAGGTGTGGCGGCAGGAGAACAGGAAGTGGTGGATTTCTTGCATATGAAACTTCTGACGGAACAGAATTTATTCAACTGTACATTCAGTTTATAATCTTTAAAAAACCCTGATTTTGGACAGAGGATGAGATCCCCAGACATTTTTCTATGCTTGATGTAAGAAAGCAGCTAAACACATTGCTTCAGGGAGTTGCGTCTCAAAACCAAATTATAACTACAAGATAACGTTACTGTTGTCCTGTTGGAGACTGGATTGAATGTCTCCGTTCGTGTTTTCTGGTCCAATGGTGCCATCTTGTGCATATCAGTGCACGTTACATTGACAGTTTCTCTACAGGTAGGAAAGTGAGACAGACTAGGAAGGCAGTCTGAGTGAGTGTCTTACCGGTAGAAACGGGAAGATTCACGGTTAGTCCGGCTGGTTGTTGGTGATAGGGTTGGGAAACATCATTTTATAAAGACACCATTTCAGCTGTCACGTTTGGCTGCTGTGAGCCCGGAAACCTGTACACCTGAATGGCAGGATCTCACCGGCCTCACAAAACCTCCGGGCTCCATGTAAGTTCACACAATATCCTATGTTGTTAGTGTTAGCCACTCTTTAAGAGCCTACTGGTTATCAACATCTACACTCACTGTTTGTGAACCATCTTTAAAATCGTCCTAAAACTGCGGTAACGTGAGTCGCCGAAAGCGAAACCGAAACCGTGGTCAATTTCTGTTCCGCCTAATTTAGTGTTATTATGGTAAAATTACTGTAGCAATTTGTAACAGCAATTGTAGTCTGGTTACATTTCGTTGTTGGAGGGGTTTTTAGAGTAGAATTTGTTCATGTTGCTAAAAGTTAAATGTTATATGTACCAGTGATAGTAGAGGACAGTGAAGGAGATGGTGAGTCACCTATTAAGGAATTGTTTTAGAGAAAGGTCAAAGTTCACAGAAATGTTAATTGTCTATTTACCTTTTTCCATTGGAGGGGTTTTTAGGTCATTACAGTAGGCCTATGTATGATATAAGTACCAGTTACGGTTGGGCCAATAGACCATGGCTGACATCACGACTTTGCGCAAGCATCGTGATTGTAAACCCCTCCGTCCCCGCATAATTTTTCACATAATACCACCATGTAAATGCAGTTTTTAATCACCACGAACATATTATACATTGTAAATATATTTCGCACCTTCCTTGGAAATTCTTCTCCCCACACACAGACACACAAGAGACTACACCTCAGGTAAACACACCAGCTTTCATGACCTGCGGCTCACTCTGACGCCGTCCTTACCATAATAACACTGCTATAGGCGCAACAGAAATCAGGCGGCAGGGTTCGAGTTATAATCTGTGCTTCGTGAGGGTCTCTAACTACTAACTAAACTTAGAGAGAGAGAGAGAGATCAGTGCTTTACGTGATTCAACAATTCCCTCTCTCACACATGCAAACGCACAAACAACACACACACAGTAGTTCACGACTTGCCCCAGATTTCTGCAATATTGCAACAAAGTTTAATTTTCAATAGCCTGAAAAATGCCATCAGTGACTGCTGCTCAAGAGATTTAATTTATGGTAGGTATAATATGAAAGTTGTATTATTACGCACTGCTGGCTGCCCGCATGCAGTTGCAAGATTATTATCAAGCGCTGTAATAACTGGAGGATGGAGGATGCATCACAAAGCCAATAATAGCCTATCAACAAATAAGCAGCAGTCAATACAGAGTTGCAGTCTCAACCTAATTATAATGGAAAATACATTATTTGTGATTCAAAATAATGGTTGTTGATAAATGAATTAGTGACAGATGCATGATTTTACTGCTTCCATGGGAGCTCAGAGCCTCTTTGTAACTCGAACTCTGTTTATCGCCCAAAACGCTGCATAAGACACATATACCTTTGGTGTGAGAGACCCGGGTTCAATTCCCCACTGTGACACATCCACCATTGTGTCCCTGAGTAAGACACTTCACCCCTTTTGCTCCAGTGGCGTGCGACCTCTGACATATATAACAATTGTAAGTCGCTTTGGTTCAATGCTTCAAAGTGGTTCAATCCCCGGCTCCTCCAGGCTGCATCTCCAAGTGTCCTTGGGCAAGATACTGGACCCCTAATTGCCCCTGGTGGCTGTTCCACCACTGTATGAATGTGTGTGAATGGTGAATGCGATGAAGTGTAAAAGCGCTTTGAGTGGTCGAAAAGACTAGAAAGGCACTATACAAATACGGATATATTTAACTAAATAAAACTGTAACGTTACATGATCAAAAATAAACCTGTTACCTGTTTGCAGCCAACGTTAACAATTAAAGTGATGGCAGCCAGCGAGGCCTAAATGATTACGTCAATCGACCACCACAAGTTTGGCAAGTAAGCAAACGCTCATTTCCTAACATAGTCGGAGTTCACCTCCCGTAGGTTGTCAGATACTAACCTATTTTGCGTTCAGCGCTTCTTTGTTTGGGCCTCGTTGAATGAAGTTTTAAATCCAAAGTTTATGATGAAGCTGATTCATACAGTATGTGTTGCGTAGACAGGTTTTAGGTAATGCAGGGAGGGGAATAACAACAAGTTCATCAGATGTTTCCTAAAAATAAACATTGTTCAGGAGTCCCGCACCTCGAGTCTGAGTCAAGTCTGAGTCTCAAACTCGAGTCCCCATCTCTGTCACACACATAGCACACATTTTCTGTTTTATTAAATCGCTCACTTTTTTGGGTTATGTAATCACACATGATAACATCGTGATTGGGATTAGATTAATCGTACAGCCTTAGTCTTAATGTTTGTTATGATAAATTGTAGTCGCACCATTTTCACGATTAGAGATTTTTGTCATGATTCTAATTAATTTTAACAAGAATCTCTTTAGCATTGAAAACATGTAAGAAGGTGGCTTCCTTGTTTTCCCTAAACAAAACATTGGATTAGGCTTTCTGAATTGCAAAACAAACTGAAACACACAGTACATCTTATATAGCCCACTAAACTACATTATCTGAGAAAGAAAGAAGTTTTGTTTATGAGTCTTTCTCAGTGGTCAAAAGTTGAAAAGTGAATTGAAGACAATACACCTTGTGACAGTGACGGTATTTAATGTTAAAGTTCGTCAAAACTATAATTCTCCAAACTAAGTGTTGTTGTACCAGCAGGACATCACTCATGTGTGGGGTGATATTGGAAAAATATAATAAGCCCTTGTCATTGTTATTGTAAGCCAATGCAGTTTACATACGGAACAATGTATTCAAATAAGCTCAAGCCGTTTTCTACTTTATGGTCAAACATTCTCTGCAGGCCGTATTTTGGCCATCTCTGCTCTGCCCTCACATTTGTGTAGCACATTCTTCAGAAGGACACAGGTATTCATCTTGGAATTGATATAAACCATTAGAATTGATGTTAAACTGTTAAATATTGCATCAGGTGCACAATGTTTAAACATCATGAAATATATTAGCCGTTTTACGTAATAGTAAATCCATCACAGGCAGAATAATTGTTGTCATTAACATTTTATTTAACCTGGTTTTGTTTTCCAGATCCCTGAAGTTGAGTCTGTGTGCAGAACATACAGAAGGACACATGGCTTGTACAACACAGTCGGCCTTAGACTACGTAAAGAGTGCCAGAGTCCACCTTGTGAGAGAATTAAATAATCTGTCAGTGGTTGTGGAGAACTTGTACCAGCAAAGAGTTTTTAGTGATGAAGAGGTCAAAGAAATACAGACAGAGAGACATGACTACGATAAAACCAGGAGAATACTGGACTCAGTCATTAAGAAGGGGGAAGCGGCGTGCTACAAGTTCCTCAGAATTATTGACGTGACGAGGAAGAGGACCTTAGGGAGGACGTCCCTTCTCCCTGCGACAAAGAGTTCAGCTTCTACTGAAGCCAAGAAGTTTGACCTGCACTTCTGGATCAGCTGCTTTTCTTTCAAGGACGACACACAGATGGATATAAACTACTTACAAGGTATTTATCATTTTCATTCATTCATCATTTTTAGTGTGTCACATTTTCACTTAGTTATCTATGATGGGCTGATTTATATAGAAACCCCATTTCCAGAAAAGTTGGGATATTTTCCAAAATGCAATAAAAACAAATATATGCGATTTGTTCATTCACATGAACCTTTAGTTAATTGATAAATGTACAAAGAAAAGATTTTCAACCATTTTACTGACCAGTGTATAATTGTATTTTGTAAATATAAACAAAGTTAGAATTTCATGCCTGCAACACAACAAAATTTGGGACAGAGTTAAAATAAGATTTAAAAGTGCACAGAGTATTCAAGTAACACCTGTTCTATTTCATTGACCTCTGGGCAACGATGCTTTAGCACTGTGTATCTCCATCTCGCATATGAGCAGGCTGAGTCATTATACCAACAAAGTCACCTGTGACCATGTGATTACGTAGGGCACCTGCCCCAGTATAAAACCCTCATGTCATCACGCATCTGTTCCTTCATCTGCTCCGTAATTATCCAAAGATCCTGTATAGCAAAAAAGTATGCATCGTTTTATAATTGCATCGCAGCCCTCTGAATCGAAATTGAATGGTGAGATTCCCACCCCTACGGTCTGCTGCTGCATCCAGAAATGCAACCTGAAAACTGTAATTATGTAAGGAGGAAGCCATACATCAATTGTGGGCAAAAACACCGCCGAGTTCTCTGGGCCTGAGGTCATCTCAGATGGACCGAAAGACAGTGGAACTGTGTGCATCGAATTCTCCATGCAAAAGCCACAATCTGTGATGGTATGGGATGCATCGGTGCCCACAGCATGAGTGAGCTGCAAGTGTCTGACGGAATATTTTGATTTTTAGAGAGACACATGTTGCTGCCGGGACATCCGTGCTTATTGCATGGGCTACAACAGCTTGACTTTGTAGACAGAGTTCGTTTGCTTGACTGACCTGCTGCCAGTCCAGATCTGTCTCCTATTGAAAATGTATCTCATCATCAGGAAGAGGTGACCGTAGACTGTTGAGCAGTTTTAAGTTTTGTATCAAGCAAGAATGGACAAAATTCCAAATCCACAATTAGTATCTTTTCTTCCCAAACGATTAGAAAGTGTTATTGAAAGGAAAGGTGAAGTAATACAATGGTAAACATGCCTCAACATTGAGTGTGTTGAGGTGTAGACTTTATTTATGTTTACAAAATACAGTTATGCTGGTCAAAATATTCCACACATAAGGTTCAATATTGTTATGAAACACATTCTGCATGTTTTGTAGTGATTGGACAAGCATTTTCTGATCTATAGCTTGATTTGTTTCATTCCACATCCAATTATTATGCATTTATAGCGCCTCCTAGAGGTCAATTTGAATGAGACTTCCAGTGTATGTGTGAGGTGCTTATGTAGACATATCTGCACGTTTTGTGTTGATTGGGCAAAGAGTATGCATTTTGCAGCCTGTTTTGTGCTTTATCCCCTGCTGATTGTGTGCATTTATAGTGCTCCCAGGTGTTCGATTTGAATGGAAGTTTCAGGGAGTGTTTCACTTACTTATGAGGACACATCCTGAGAGATTTGTGATGATTGGAGAATGAACATGTGATTTATAGTATAATTTGTGTAATGCAATGCACCTGTCTTGCGCTTGTAGCTCCCACAAGTGACGTATGTACATCAAACTGTCCAGGTATATCCGAGGCACCTATCTGAACATATCCTGTGAGTTTTGTGATGATTGGCCGTGCGGTTGCTAATTTGTGGTCATTTATGTCTAGAGCCATGCCCCTTTCAAAGTTCATTGGTCCATATCTTGAAAAGTTATTGAGATATCGACATGCTTCATACAACTTTTAATAGGCTTGATCCAATGATAATGAATCACTGAAAATTTGGTGGCAATCGGAGCTACAGTCTAGGAGGAGAAAATGTGATTTTCAAAAAATTCAAAATGGCAGAAAAATGTATTGGCGCACCTGAATCGTCCCAGAGGCTTTTTTGTAGAGCACATTGAGCTGCACCTGTGTGAGAAATTTTAAGTCAATTGGACTTACGATGTAAGGAGCGTGGCCTTTCAAAGTTTGCATTTTTAAGTCTTAATTATAGCGCCACCATGTGGCTACACGGTATGAACCCCAACAGTAGGACTAGTAACAATAATTGTAGCCAAGGGTGTCGAGCACAGCTCCAGAGCCAGAAACACCTGCAGGAAGTGATAGGAGGAGAGAGGAGAGGGACGAGAAAGCACAAGACTACTGGAAATTGGAGAAGTCGAGTTAGTAACATGCAATAATGGGATGAGGTTGCATACAGAGGGAGAGAAAGAAGAGGAGAGAGGAGCTCAAAACACTTTCTGTTGACTGCACTCACACAGCAATTTTATCACTTGGTAATTGCAGTGCCAGTTGTACTTTTATGTGTTGAAGTGTAATAAATGATTGACCTTGAAACTGAGTTTTAGCGCGTCGCAGTGTTTTCTCTCAGTGTGTAGTCCATCGTGGCTGCAAATATTTAAGCGTTGCCCACAGTCGCTATAATTTTTGAGGATCTAATTACGGAAATACAATATGATATACATAACTATGTTTTCAGTGGTGTGTAAAGACCTTATATAATAAACCATAATGTATTTATTACCTTAGAATGTGACATTTCTGTCTACATACGTAGTGTGTAGATAGAAGTCGCCATGTTTCTACTCTACATGTAACTACTCTACAGAACGTTTTTCATCACTACTTAAATTCGAACGAAGAAGGAGGAAGAAGAAGTTGTAGAAGTTGTAGTTGTCTGGTTTATTAGAAGTAATAAGAGACTTGGAATTTCAACAAATAGAGGACTACATGTATTATTTCCAGAAGAGCCAACAGCGCATGACAGCCACCGTAGCTTCTCCTACGGGCTTGGAAAGGGAGCGGTGAGGAGTGACAGATGGTGCATTCATGTGTCAGAATAATCTGAATCTTTTTCATCCTTAGATCTTTATTGCAAAAAAAGGAATAAAGTGTTTATGGGACATAAAGAAGTACAGGATACAGAACCGTATACAAATATATAAGATGACAGGGTGGTCTATATTATATGAAGAGAAAAGAGGACCATATGTTGTTTTCACAGTCTTTGTTGTTAAATTAAGAAATTAAATTGACATAATGCACATCCTCATAGAGAAAAGCTACAAATTTTACTTTTATGAATGTGGAATTTTGCCATTAGAATGAATGGGAAACGGGACCATCCGAGGAGCACATGAATGCACAGTGAGCAGTTGGTTGCAATTCACAACCCTCAATACTAAATGCCACTAAAACTTACACACCGAACCTTTATGTTTTAAGTCATATTCTTCAGTAAAAATAATGATTCTCCAGTTCAGGACAGGGTTGACAAACAGTGATTAAATTAATCTGTGTCACAACAATCCTTTGAATCGGAAGTCCTGTATTTTTCTTATCCAGCAATTGACAAATTGATTGATTGATATATTTTATATATGTTATTATTTTTAATATCATAACACAGCAGTGATGTGGAAATTATACTCACAATAATCATTATTTTAATGTGTCTCTTTTTCAGGATGATTAAATAAATATATTAAATTATTAATGAGACTAATGAAGTTTTTTATATTTAGGCTATTTAGGATAAATTAATTGTTATATTAAATTGGTAATAAAAAACAAATATTTAGAGTTATCAATAAATAAGTTATTTTAATCAATTTTGGAAAGGTGCAGCCCTACTTTAGAGTAAGGCCAAATCAGTTATATTCCTATATTTTCTCACTGTTTTTATTTTAGGCTCCAGTCCGTGCCACAGATACCAGGAAAACTTGAAGTCAAAAGCACAAAAAATATCAAATGAGTTTTGGAAGGCAAACAAAATTCAATTTGACAGAAACAAAAAGCCTGATCTGTCGTACGCTGCTCTTGTATTAGACACACAAGGAAGTGTTTTTCCATCTAAAATAAAGAAATTGAAGAACAAGAAGAGCAAGATGAGTCGCCCTAAAAAGCTGAGGACATACATCCCTGAGGACAGACCAGACATTTCCCCCAGTGACCTGCTGAAGACCGATAAAAACATCCTCTTGGTTGGTAAGCCTGGAATTGGAAAGACAGCACTCACTCACGAAATGTTGAAACTTTGGGCAGAAAGAGACAACAAGGAGCTCGACTACATGTTCTACTTTGACATGAGAGAAACATCCCACATCATGATGGCCAAGAGCCTGGAGGATCTTCTTTTCAGTGTGATCAGTGAGCCAGATGAAGGCAAAGAAGAGGTCTTACAGGACATAAAGAAGAACTCTGACAATGTTACACTAATTTTTGATGGAATCACAGATCTCTCTTCATCAGTGGTGAAGAGACTTGTAGAGAAGGACCTACTACCTGATGCCAAGGTCATCATTACATGCAGACCAGATGATGAAGAAGACTTCCTTTCTGGGGACTTCCTCAGAGTGGAAGTGAAAGGCTTTAGTGAGAAGACCATAAAAACATACTTCTCTGCAACTCTAGGAGAAGAACAGGAGAAGGTTTTAAGCAACCTGGAGTTGTTAACTCTTTGCCATGTCCCAATGTATGCACAGATGGTGGCTGTCTGCTTTTCATCAGAGACATCAGAAGACTCTCCACAGCCATGCACTGTAACTGAAATCTACATCAATATTGTTCGTCGTTGCCTTCAAACAATCAGCAAGAAAACAAAAACCAAAGATCTAAATTCCTTCATCAACAACAGGAGTGAAGAAATTCTGTCTCTGGCCGAGTTTGCTTTTAAAGCAACTGTAGAAAAAACTGTGAACTTGACAGAACTGCCCTGTGAAGACAGCTGCGTCCTCTCCTTCCTGAAACCTCTTGTTATCAAAGTGGCCCCCACTGAGACAATCACCACTCATGCATTTCTCCATTACACAATGCAGGAGTTTTTTGCAGCACTGTGGCTGCTGAAGAATCCAGATAAGATCAGGGATGTTTTTCAGCAGAGCGTCACTGAGGAGAAGAAACACATGAAACATCTGATCCCTTTCATGTGTCGACTGCTGACTGACAAGAGACCTAGTTTGATGAATTGTCTGATTCCAGCTCAGGAGCTCAAGAACACGTCTGACTGGTTCTTCGAGGAACTGATAACCACATTTTCCCCTTGTCTCAGTAAGAAAGACGAGGATGATACTGAGGACAGTGGGCTTGATGTGGACATACTGTTCTTATGTCAGTGCTTGTATGAGTCCCAGTGTCCTGAAGCGAGCATCAACTTCCTGGAGAAACTGGACTACCATCTTGATCTCAGTGGAGAGAGTCTCGAGCCTTACCTTTGCTCTGCTGTGGCCTACGTGGTCACTCAGTCGAAGGAGAGGAAAATATTGCTGAACCTGGAGGACGTCATGGTGTCAGAGCAAGGAATGAGACGACTGTTAGGATGCCTTCAAAATGTCCAGTGGTATGTGTGAACGTTTGCTTAAATCTCTTAAAATACTGTTTAGGTTACATCTAAGTAAGTAGTAGTTTGTCTTTGTCCCTATTAATTAATCCAAGAGACTAACAGGCTATTTTATTAAGCTTTACTATCACTCTACTCTATTACTTTTTAAATGTGGAAATTGTCTCTGATTATTCTTAAATTACAGGTGTGGTCCTCTGCCACGGCAGCTGTGGGAGATTTTCCTTCTCAGTGAAGACAGATGGCAGATGAACCACATCAGCTTACTCAGCCTGGATGGGAATCAGTTGCACCTTCCAGTTGAGGGTAAAAGACGGCTGTTTGAAAGAGCAGTAAAAGTCATGCAGAAGATCACTAAACAGCTTAATATCTGCCTCCACTGGGACAGGAAAACTCCTGCCTGCCAAAGTCTGTGCGAGTCTCTCTTAGAGGCTTTGCCCTACATCCACTCACTCAGGTATGTAGCTTTTGTTTTTGTGTGATGCTGATTCCGCATTAACTTTTCCAACCCTGGACAGGTTCATGTGGGGAGGGAGAGAGAGTAAGAGTGAGAGAGAGAGAGGCCTTGTAACGATTTCACAAATTGTAATGCTAAATATTAAAGGGAAATTGAAAAAATAATTATTTAACTCAGCACTTACTGTAGTGAGAGATGCAAGTCTGTTTACAGATACTCAGTCTTAATACACGGCAAAAATTATGAGAGAACAGCATCTGAAATGAATGTGCTGTCTGGAGGTGCGCTCCAGTGTAGCCAACACAGCCATTGTAACACCAAATCCACAAACAGTTAGACATAATCTTCTAAAACAGCACGACAGCAGTCCACGAGCCGGGATCATATACTGTATAAAAACTGTAGCCACTGTGACGTCTCCCATTGGTTTGGGGACCACTCTTTTGAAGCCTTCAGTTTGGATCTTGTTTTTTTGTGACAGGAAGTGACCAAAGTCTCATAGAGGGTTGAGCTGGGTAAGGATTCACACAGGCTGCTGTGTAACAACTAACAAAGCATAAAAGCATACCCTGCTATATCATTGTTTCCCTCTAAATGGGACCATAATTTAGAAAATAACTGTCATTATCACAATTCAGATGAGTGCAAACAGGAGAGAGCCCAAACACAAGACACTAGAGAGTTGACTGAAGGAGCACAGGTTGGGCACTATTAGGCTATTAAAACATGAAACAGATCAGTGTTGAATGCTCTGGTTGATATTACAGCCTAATAATTTGACTTCAGCAGCTGTTTTGTCACGATTATAGCAGCTGAACTGTTGTGATGATGCGGATCGGCTCGGACATTAACAAAACTCATATAGGCCTATATGCATAAATCTTCCACCTGCCCCCCACCAACTAATTATTTTATCAGATTTAGAGACCAGCATCTGCATGGACGTTTTACCCCCACCTCCGCCGGTCCCTGTAGCTTTCCAGGCGATTTCTTTCTTGTGTGTTATATTGATGTATAAGTGTTTTCTTTAATGATTTACTTTGGTGATTAGAAAGGCTGCGGTCAGTCATTTAAACGTTTCTATCTGTGCAGTAATGTCACTGCAAATACCGTGGGACAAAACAGAAAAAACCTGCAGTAATAAACTTGACAGGTCAGAGAGAGGAAACAGAATTAAACTTTCGGCTTCTATAATCCATGTTTAGACTCTGATGGAGCTCAGGGTTGATCAGGAGGACGGCTGCTTTACTCCAAACACTTTTACTGTATGAAACTGCACTCTGTGTGAGACCTTTTGGATGTGTAGAAGAACACAGAACATGAATTAACACCAGATCCTGACCGATCCTGTCGGCGTGTCGGGAGATTTATTATTATTAATTTATGTTGCTGTGGCTCGTGCGTAAATGTGCACAGATGCTTCATCCAGCCGCTATTTAATGTTAATTTTTACAATGCTGCATGACATTCAACAATAACAACATCAGTGATATTAAAGTGAAATGACATTAAGGAATGCGGTTAGAACAGCGCTTTGTGAGGCGCTACACAAACGATGAAGGGCAGAAAGTTTGATCGCGCATTTGATTCTTTTTAATAGGCTTAACTGATACAACTTATGAATTTAACAGGAACACTGCAGCGTCCTGCTCCGGCTGTGGATTGGTCCAGCTGCTTGTCGTGCCTCATGTAAACATCAGAGCGGCTGAAAAGACTTCCGCAAAGGATACACTGATGTATCCTCGCTTATAACTCCTCCAGCAAGCCTCTTCGGTCCTCGATGTGCATTTTAAGAATTAATATGTCCTTCAAGATGGACTGCTGAGATCGATTTCCAGGTCACATGCTCTTTCCCTACATACTTCCAATCCGTTTGCGCGTTCATGCGGAGGGTCCGCCACATTGAGTGCCATCCGAAACCAATGAGGGCAGAGTGGTAGTGGGTTTTTAAACCCTCAAATGCTGAGTCAGCACCAATGCTGGCTTGTTGAAGGTGTGTAACACACTTTGCTGCACGATGGGGGACCTTTCTTTCAATTTGTGTTCCGTGTGACTTCGCCGATAAACATGTAGGATTTTTTATTTTGAAACTACACTAACATTGTCACGTCACCATTCACAGGTTAACAACGTAGCCCATATGATTTATATTGAAATGTATATGTGAATGTAACATTTTTCAGATTCAAATAAATAGGCTTTTCTTTACAATGAATATCAATCTTTTCATAAAAGATATTTATTTTTCGTTTTTTTTTGTTTACATCTTTATGTGCATAGATTTCAATTAAATTACAGTTTTACAGTAATGCACTTTTTGATACATGTGTTTGTTATCATAAAGCTTCAGGAGGACCTACAGAGGTCCAGGATTACAGGACCAGCAACAAAGCCAGGGGACACTGGAGAGGGAAAAACAGGAGCTGTTACTGGATTTATGCCTGAGAGCAGCACTTTACAAAGGAGAGAGCTTTCACAGAGTAGTGAACGAACTTCTCTCATTGTTTTCTGTGAACAATGACTTACATAACATCCTTCTTGATTTTTATCAACACGTCAAGAGTAAAGAGTGTTCAAGTGTCATTCCGAAGCTGAGAGCACTTTTCCAGTCAGCTCCTGCAGTCTGGTCCATAAACCTCTCAGAGAGAAAGACCTCCATCCTCCTGGAAGTGCTGAAACTCCAACCAGAGAAGAAACCAGTGGAGCTGACAGGCTGGACAGATGAAGAGAGTGAAGTGAGGAGTTTCTTACAGTGTCTGCCTTATATCTCACAGCTCAGGTAAATGAATTGAACTTCACATGACTTCCGTGTACATGTCTGGAAACTCACTGTTAGTTTGAAGGTGAAGGTAAAGTGTTCAGGTGATCAGTCCACATAAATGTTACATCACTGTGTTTAGTTTTATAGATGACATGCTGTTTTATTCCACGCAGCCCAATGTGTTTATTCCTACATTACCCAGAGTTCTGTGCAGATCAAACACCCTTAGCAATGCTCCTACAGAGTCCTGCTGAATAATTTTTATTTTTTATCACAATATGTGATTTGTCATGGATGCTGGATTGGAGCTCATTTATTGGCTCCCCTGACTCTAATATAGCCAAGAAAAGAGCTATAACTGAGGAGGGTGTTTGAACGATGAATGATTAAGAAGAGCGAATGAGAGGATTTTGATCAGGTGGTTTATTATCAATATTGAAAAGAAACCACGTTATCAGGATGTGATCAGTAAACCACTAGAAATCCTAATTATGTGACACTAGTATTGTATGAAGTTTCATAGAGTTTTACAGAATGATGGTTGTTAAAACTTGTGGTCCAGTATTTCAGCTTTGGAGCTGATTGATTAATAAATGTTTTGGGTAAAGTTTTCCTTTCAGCCACCCTGTTGGTTCAGGACTGGTATTCCAGTATAACATACAATCTTTAATACAGAGGAGAGGATACACCTTTGTAGCCTGACTTTCCTGCTTCATTCAACATTTTGTCAAGATTATATTTTAGTAACAGTTTTCTTTTCAATGCTTTCATGCTTTTATCTTGTATTGTTTTTTTTTGTATTATTGTCTCTTGGGTATTATTGTCTTTACACTTGTTAAAGCACTTTGTAACTTGTTTTTGAAAAGTGCTCTACAAATAAGGATTATTATTATTATTATTATTCTTAAATCCACATATATCCCTTTTAAAATAATTTTTGATTGAATTTCAGGTTGATTTATTTTAGTGTATTCTGCTCATGGGCAGATATTTGTAGGCTTTTAGCAGATAAACTCCATATCAGTAATTCATGGCTGTTTTTCTGCTGTTGACATCAGATCATAACAAAATGTAAAATTTTCATTGCAGAGTCTTTGTCCCGTTTGAAAGTGAAGCCAAGTTCTTTGGGAATCTGTTCTGTGCAGCAGCAGAGAGAGAACAGCAGACAGGAGAAAAGATACTGGAGCTGTTAACATCATACATCGATAATTTTGAGGATGATGATGAATATTATCAGAGTGGTTTCCTGCTGGATCTGTACTCCCACCTGAAGGACTATGAGACTAAAACAGGCTTGAGGGTCCTTCCATCATTACAGTCAGTTTTCCAGTCAGCTCCTGCAGTCTGGTCCATAGACCTCTCAGAGAGAAAGACCTCCATCCTCCTGGAAGTGCTGAAACTCCAACCAGAGAAGAAACCAGTGGAACTGACAGGCTGCTCAGATGAAGAGAGTGAAGTGAGGAGTTTCCTACAGTGTCTGCCTTATATCTCACAGCTCAGGTAAATGAATTGTACTTCATATGACTTCCGTGTACATTTCTGGAAACTCACTGTTAGTTTGAAGGTCAAGGTAAAGTGTTGAGGTGATCTGTCCACATAAATGTTACATCACTGTGTTTAGTTTTATAGATGGCATGCTGTTTTATTCTACACAGCCCAATGTGTTTATTCCTACATTACCCAGAGTTCTGTGCAGATCAAACACCCTTAGCAATGCTCCTACAGAGTCCTGCTGAATAATTTTTATTTTTTATCACAATATGTGATTTGTCATGGATGCTGGATTGGAGCTCATTTATTGGCTCCCCTGACTCTAATATAGCCAAGAAAAGAGCTATAACTGAGGAGGGTGTTTGAACGATGAATGATTAAGAGGAGCGAATGAGAGGATTTTGATCAGGTGGTTTATTATCAATATTGAAAAGAAACCACGTTATCAGGATGTGATCAGTAAACCACTAGAAATCCTAATTATGTGACACTAGTATTGTATGAAGTTTCATAGAGTTTTACAGAATGATGGATGTTAAAACTTGTGGTCCAGTATTTCAGCTTTGGAGCTGATTGATTAATAAATGTTTTGGGTAAAGTTTTCCTTTCAGCCACCCTGTTGGTTCAGGACTGGTATTCCAGTATAACATACAATCTTTAATACAGAGGAGAGGATACACCTTTGTAGCCTGACTTTCCTGCTTCATTCAACATTTTGTCAAGATTATATTTTAGTAACAGTTTTCTTTTCAATGCTTTCATGCTTTTATCTTGTATTGTTTTTTTTTGTATTATTGTCTCTTGGGTATTATTGTCTTTACACTTGTTAAAGCACTTTGTAACTTGTTTTTGAAAAGTGCTCTACAAATAAGGATTATTATTATTATTATTATTATTCTTAAATCCACATATATCCCTTTTAAAATAATTTTTGATTGAATTTCAGGTTGATTTATTTTAGTGTATTCTGCTCATGGGCAGGTATTTGTAGGCTTTCAGCAGATAAACTCCATATCAGTAATTCATGGCTGTTTTTCTGCTGTTGACATCAGATCATAACAAAATGTAAAATTTTCATTGCAGAGTCTTTGTCCCGTTTGAAAGTGAAGCCAAGTTCTTTGGGAATCTGTTCTGTGCAGCAGCAGAGAGAGAACAGCAGACAGGAGAAAAGATACTGGAGCTCTTATCATCAGTGTGCAGATATCAATCATTCCCTTTTAATGAGAGAGACATGGGTTTTGCTCTTTAACACCATCTCCTCCAGTTTGGATGTCCAGTTAGTGCTGAACGTCTTTTACGTCACAGCTGCTCTCTCTCTTTGGTTTCCAGGCTTTCCAACGACATGGCCTTGCTACTATCTCGATGGGTGAGAAGAGGGAGAGCGGCCTGTCCGTTGGCTGTTGAAGAGCTTTCTCTGGCCCCTCAGAAAGCCCGACAATCAGACAGAGTGCTGTTGAAGGTCGTCAGTAGTTTGGCGTCCCTGCTGAGATCCTGGGCAGTCAGACGGTTGGACCTGACTGAGTTCTGCGTCCCTGCTCAGGGTCTCATTCCTCTGCTGCTGCACGACGGTCCTCTAACCATCAAGTAAACGTCTTTCCTGAGCCTCATCAACACGTACTAATCAATGAACATGCTAAATGTATTAATACTTCACTTTTTATCTGCAGACTGAGTCAGGAGATTTTCCAGCAGCTCCTCTCCCTCCTCCATGAAGTCCAGGACGAGGTCTTGACCCGGTCCTTCTTGAGTAAGGTTGGTGGAGACCTGAGCTCCTGCTGTCTGAACTGGGAGCTTCTTCACTATCTGCTGCAGCAGTCGTCAGCTCAGACCATCACTGTGAACCTGAGGAAGAACCTCTTCTTACAGGAGAGCGTCACACGTCTGCTTCCCTTTCTGGACAGGATTATATTTAAAAGGTGATCACTTTGTTTGTTTTACCAGAAACAGACGTCCAGCTGATCCTGTTCAATCTCTTGTGTTGTTGTGGCTCATGTTTTACAGCAGTTTGTTCATTCTTTGACTGAACAAAGTGTCCCGGTGAACACACTTTCTGCTTTCAGGCCCAGTCCCGGCTTTGTGTTGACTGCCATCAGAGAGATCTATAAAGCTCGTGCCAGTCCCATTATACCCAGTTTACTGAGGTCACTGGATCATGTGATCAACCTGACCTGCAGAGAGATGGACTCTGTGGACTGTGCTGCTCTGCTCTTCACCCTCAAACACAGTGACAGAGTTAAACTGAACCTCCAGTGGACCTCCATACCAACAGGGGACACAGAGTCCATCCTCTTTACGCTGGACAAAGTTTCTCAGCTCAGGTCAGACATTCGTTTCTCAGAGCTGTGCCTGGATCAGTCCTCTCCAACACACAGGAGATAATGCACCTTTACCTGGAGCACCTTGGAAAATATATATATATGACGTAAAAAGATCATTCTGATTCTTCACAAACTGGTTCTTACCGTGTTACCAAATCTTAAGCTTTACTGATAGAAACGACTGAAACAACTTCAATAATCAGACCCATGTTGAAAATAAATATATATCAATCAATATCAGATTGTTTGTTCAGATGTTGATAATGATGTATTTTTGAATCCATGTTCCCTCCAGTGTGGACAGGAACCTGCTGCTGAGGCTGGTGCACTGCTGTGCTGCCTCCGACGCCCAGCAGGGGGCAGCAGTCGGCCTGCTCAGGACTGTGCAGCACAGGCTGGATCTGTCCTGCTCCTCCTGTGTGGAGCTGCCAGAGGAGGATCAGAGCGAGACTCTCAGTCTGACCGGTGAGGACTGCGGGGCCGTCTCCGCCATCCTGAGACGCAGCGTCCGGGACACACAGCTCAACCTGCAGGACTGCGAGGTGGAGGACAGCGGACTGGACCTGCTGTTTCCTGTCCTCCGCAGAGTCCGCCTCAGGTGGGAAAGACCACAGCGTGACCTAAACCAGAGAAGGAGCTTGTTCTCATGTTGATGCATCGTAACAGTCTGTTCTTTGCTCTGATTGGCCTGTTTAGAGCCAGTAAAGCCGTCCTCCTCCAGCTGGTGTCCCTGGTTCCTGTGAACAGTGAGGGGGACACAGTGAGACGGGCGGTGTCCCTGTGTAGAGCCCTGGACGGAGAGCTGGACCTCAGTCACACCTCACTGGATCAGAGGGCCTGTGGAGCTTTGGCCCTGATGCTGGACTCTCTGAAGGGCTGACGAGCTGGACCTCAGTCACTGTGAGCTCACCGACCAGCTGCTGCTCACACTCATCACACATCTGCACAAAGTCCAGGTCCTGGAGTGAGTGTCCCCCTGTACACACACATGTGATCATGTGACTAAAATGCGTACAGCGCTGTGTGGGCTCTGTCCTCGGCAGTAATAAATGTAGCGCCGTGTCTCTGTTTGTGTTTGTGTGCATGTTACAGTCTGAGTCACAATAAGATCTCTGATGCTTCAGCTGGAAAGTTACTCCACCTGGTCTCCATCAACCCCTCCATCGGCACTGTGCGGTGAGCAAACATTAATTAGTGCTCCGTTCATTTATGAAGACATTTGTGCTCACAGAGAAATCCTTCATGATC